CATCAGAGTTTGGACCTGATCTCCATAATATAAAAATAAAAACTAAATTAATAAAACATAACGTTATGAAATAGGACAGAGAAATGATTTGCTGTGTCTACAGAAAAGTGTAACACAAGATAAAATTTAACCAGGTGTTTCGATTAAAGGTTTCTACTGCAACTGAGATCGACCGTGCTTGCAATTATATTTTTAATTATCTTATCTAAAGATTACAAGTTAATTGTTTCATTACCTCAAAATAACAAAGCTCATTTTCTTGGGAGAACGGGTTAATTTATTATGAGAAAATAAACAATGCACTTCTCGTGAGAAGACAAGCTTTGTTAACTCGAGAACGAAATTAAAATTATTTATTAAAAAAAAATGACAAGCACGGCCATTCTTGGCTTCCGTAGGTTTTAGTGTTGCCTGTTTGCTTTGGTGGTAATTCTAAGAGACCTCAAGAATTATTTTTAAAATAATTAATACCTATCAGCTTTGAAAAAAATAAATTAGCCATAAAACTGATAAGAAAACAAGAAAAGGAATTGTATGCTGTATAGATTATTAAACAGTTATGCTGTGTTTTAACACACTGTTATGCTGTGTTTTAACACATTGTTATGCTGTGTGTTAAGATTGTCCATCTTAAAGTGGTTTATGTGCATTCTGTAATGAATGCGGGTCAGATATCCATATCATACACCCATTCACATAGCATTCAGGTTCACCTGCTTCTTCTATAGTTAAAATCTGAATAATCAATTAACAAACAATGGATGCATGCGGTACTTGTTGCTAATGAAAAGATGCTTAACCCTCCTGATTTGAGCATCAAAACCAAGATAGACATTAGAAAGTCTCCACAGTCTGAGTCTGAACAACAGAACATCCATCCATCTGCTAACCCCTTACACTGGTCAGAGTCACGCGAGCCTAGAGCCACTCCCAAGCAGCACAGGGCACAAGGCTGGGGTACACCCTGGACGGGAGTCCGTCATCGGGCACGAGGCCGGGGTACACCTTGGACGGGTGTCCGTCACCGGGTACGAGGCCGGGGTACACCCTGGACGGGAGTCCGTCATCGGGCACGAGGCCGGGTACACCCTGGACGGGAGTCCGTCACCGGGTACGAGGCCGGGGTACACCCTGGACGGGAGTCCGTCACCGGGCACGAGGCCGGGGTACACCCTGCACGGGAGTCCGTCATCGGGCACGAGGCCGGGGTACACCCTGGACGGGAGTCTGTCACAGGGCACAAGGTTGGGGTACATCCTGGATGGGAGTCCGTCATCGGGCACGAGGCTGGGGTACACCCTGCACGGGAGTCCGTCATTGGGCACGAGGCCGGGGTACACCCTGGACGGGAGTCCATCATGGTGCAAGGCTGGGGTACACCCTGGACCGGAGTCCGTCACTGGGCCACACACGTGCACACACAGGTTCGTATTCATATCTTTGTGGGGACTATCCCTTCATTTTTATGGACATAACCCTAATCCCAAAATATCCCTGCAAGGTCAAAATAACATGTTTTATCACATTGTGGGGGCATTCTACATGACGTAGGGAAGACATGCATACTTCACATATGCAGATCGGAGGCAGGATTCAAACTCTGGAAGTACTGTATGAGGTAGCAGTGACCAGGCAAATGGAGATCTTGAGGCAACAGTTGAACTGGTTACCAAGCAGTTGCTAGGCAGTGATGTCACTAGTCTTATACTGTGGCAACAACATCTGCTAGTAGATGGATAAAATGAGCTATGCACAGCACACAACGGTTCTTCTGCCATTGATGGAGCTGTCGTCATGTGGTTGCTAGGCAATGTGGTCACACTTCCCAGTGTGTTTCCTGTTGTTAGGATGCAGAGCACCAGCTCTCTGCTAAGATAACATTCGGGAAAAAGGCTGTGTTTGTGCATAAATGCCCTTTTTGTTGTAGTAAAATGACTCTATTTCCTTCATTCACATGCAAGTTGATTTTCCACTTTCACGTTGGATGTCTAGCTGTGTGTATTGGGCAGCTGGACATACAATGAAATCTCACTAATTGCCAGTTGATGAGTTTTTTTATACTCACATTTTTGAAGACTCAAGAATCACCAGTTTACTTTTCGGGTAACATCAGTTTTTTGTTTACTTTCAGAATTTTGCAGTGTTTCATGATTAATTTTGATCATTATAGTGCACAAAATACCAGTATATCAAAATTATTATTAAACCCCTACACCAAAGTAACTTACATGGCTTGTAGCATTAAATCTTTCCTATCAGAGTGTGTTTGCTGAAATTTAACTTGAAATTTGAGATATAAGTACTTTTATAAGGGTACAACGATTTCCTCCAAGAGCTCCGATTGGTCACTTGAGCCCTCGGGGCAGTTCCCTTAACCTACATCTCAGTATCTGCTTCTCAACACTGCTGAAAGGAGCAGAAGCTGTGAATGTAGTGTCCTCCTCATTCGCCATTCACACGAGCCAGTGAAGCCCCCAGAACACGCAGTTTCTTCTCTGAATTAACATCATCATCTCTAGTGAGTGCTCCAGCGTAGAGCAAAGAATGAAATCTATGTAGCAGATGCCAGGTGACACCCTATTGCCTCATAATTTAAACACAGAAAAATGGACTTGTGCACAAGACAGAGCAATTTGTTTGCATTTCTATTCTTCTGGGATGCTTTTAGGCTGACAGCAAAGATGCACATTTTATCATAAATATACAAAATTAGCAAAGAGTCTCCTTTTAAAAACATTGCCAGCTCCTTTACCTGCTCAGAAATCGTGTAACGGCATCTCAAAGATAGATTTGGGAGTCAATGAACTCATCGGCATTTGTGTCGACTGCTTTGCTAGGAATTAATCCAGGAAAGCAAATGCATTGTCTAAATGGTTACCATGGCAGCGAGAAACGGGCCCCATGATTTTTAAAGGCCAAATCCCCGACTGCTCATCCTCAGTGTCCGCAGTGCTGCTGACTTGGCTGGCAGGCTCAGGAGAAAGCCAGACAGAGCCAGTGCCATTTGCTTTTAAGGCATTATCTGAGCTCGGCCATCCTCTGCGGGAGTGTCACCACAAGCTTTGCTGGTCTCCCTGGTAGCTCACCTCCATTTACCACAGTTTTAGCACTCGATTGCTTCGATCCTCATTAATTCTGTATCAACAGACAAAAGCGTCACCATTTTGGATTGTGAACCATAAAAACCGTTAGTCTCTCATGTAGAGAGAGGTCCGTCCAAAGAATTATGGGTCTCTCTATTAGAAGACTGTTAACCACAAGCCCCGCTGACTTGCTGCAGCAAAGCCTGCCCATCTGTCTGGCAGAGGGACATCTAGCGCGAATCTGGCTGGCGTCCGTCACTAACCCTACACACTGGCTGCTTTCTTCGTTCAGTGGCTAGTGTCAGTAGAGTGTCCATGCGGTTAAAAAGGGATCGGGCCAAGTTCCTGTCCTTGAGACAAGACACACAATCAAGACAGTCTGTGTCTTACTCTGTGTGTAAGATGATGGCACCCACCCCACATTCTGCTAATGTGTGCTTGCATTCAGAAGCTCCTCTTCTGCAATCTCTGAAGTCTAGCAAAATGGTCGATTTATTTCTCCTCAGAGAAATCATTGTTCTCCACAGAGAGGAGAGACTGGCCAGTCTCTCACTGGCTGACTCATCTTCATTTCATAATGATGGTTGTGCTTTTGTTATGCATAAATACTGCGGAGTCCTCATAAAAATCGCATTAAAATGCATGTTTAGATGTAAACTCTATGATTCCTCTGTGTTCAATGCTGACTGTACATCCCTGAAAGTGCTGCCCATTTTGCACAGATAATATACATCTGATATTCTGGCTTGAAAAGATGCAGCTGAACAGAGACTTATTGTGGAGACTTTCATTGAAATTTCAGCCTTAGGAAAAGCTTTATTTTTTGGCACAACCTTATATTATAGGTGGCTCTGAAACCAAAGGGTGTTTTAAAATGCAAACATCTGATTGAGGTGCTGGGTGTTGCAGTATTTTTTTCCTGTTCGTCTTCCTGAAAACAGCTGAGAAGAATCCGCACTTGTGGAGCACGGGGTTTGTTGGCCGGTGCTATGAGTATCCGCTCCTGTCCTGAGGCACTGCAGCCACTGCCCTGTCAAAATATGATAAATCATAAATGTTTCCCTTAATATCGCGTGCTGCTAACTACAGTATTTTCCGTAGCCACATAAATTGCTCCGCTTTCACATTTGAAAACAGAATAGTTATTCATTTTAAGGTCACCATTTGGAAAAATCCAGACAGCACGAAGGTCACAGATTACTTTACAAGACAAAGCAAAACTTAATAAAGATGAACAAATATGCAGCATTAAAAAAAACAGGAATAACTTTTGTTAGAGAAAAAGTAAACGTAAAACGACATGTACACAACTCAATAAATTATATGTGATGTGTAAGCCATGGCAAGACCCTACACAATGGATGGCAGAAAGGCATACAAATATAAATGGCCCACAGAGCGCCCCCCAGTGGCCAAAAAAGGAAATTATATTGAATTTTCTTTAGTGCAGCATTTCTTAAAGCAGTCGTGAGGGACCCCCAGACAGTCAGCATTTTTGGCTTCCTCCTGGCTGCCAACACCCTTTCAGCAGGTATTCGGTGTTCTTCATTGATTGATTCATGTGTACTGGGAGCTGGGAGGGAGCACTGCTCTAATGTGTTACACTTGGGGGTCCCTCCCCCTTCCATACCTGTAGGGAGACAAAGACAGAGGGACATTGGAAGGGTTTTGTATTTTTCACCCCTGAAAATCCCAGTTGATGTGGTGGTTGTGTATTCGGGGGAGACCTTTGTGAAAATGGGTAATTGGAAATTCCAAATTCGTAGAAAACTAAGAGGAAAAAGTGTCTTCAGGGGTTGATCAGGAGGCCCTTAACAATTAACGTCCCTGCACTTATGAGTCATGATGGGAATTAATGGCAATTGTGGGAACGTATCGATTATTGCACTTTTTAAAGCATGCTGTTCTGTTTTGCAGGCCGAATTTTCGGAGATCAACCTTGCATCCTATGTCATTGGTGGATGCATGATTGACATGCAGCTAACGAGAGGCGGGACCAAAGTAGTCAGGTAGGCTGGGCAGTGTCACATACCTCTAATGGCATTCCTGAGGATGACCGTAGCTAGCTAATGGCACTACAGTCATTACTGCATTAGTGTTAGACTACATTTCCTCTTATTTAATCATTGACATTGTATCTCACACTTATAATTTTATAAGCCAGTTGACAGTTATGAGGTGGTGTGGGACTCTGTGGGTTAGAATGCCTGTTTGAATTGCGGGGCCAGCAGACTGATGCTGCTATTGGGCCCTTCAGCAAGGTAACCCCCAGATCCAGGGGTGCTACATGGTGGCTAAGCCTGTGCCCCCCCCCCTCCCCAGATATACTATGTGCCTCATGGAGAATGCTGGAGTATGCAAAAGGACAATTTCCCTACCGGAATCAATAAAGTATCAATATTTTATTATAACTTTTAGAGTGGTATGGTAGCTCAACCAGGCTTTGTGTGTGTGGATGTTCCCCTTGTGTTCTTGCAGATATTCCACAGCCACTTACACAGGTTTTCCCTAGAGTCCTGACCATCCATCCATCTTCTGGCCACTTACCCTGGTTAGGGTCACAGGGGGCCCACGGCCCGTCCCAGATATAAACCTGGGGTACACCCACACAAGTGTGGACAATGTCTCCAGACTGCATGTCTCATGGAATCTGGCGAGAAATCAGATTTCACTTCAATGTGCAAAATGTTATTTGGACATAGGAAATTGTTTGTCACGAATCGGAGGTGTTCGATAATAATTTTATTGTTGAAGTAAATGAGGTAATCTTTACTAAATTTGCATGGTTTACTGTACAAAAGGGACAAAAGGCACAGCTTGAATGTGCTACATGGGACTGTTCTCACCACCTGCCAAAGGAGCCATAAGGGTCCTGTGTGATGTGGACCAGGAAGCAGTCAAAGGCAAGGACCTTGGTCAACTGATCCCCAGGTTGTGAAACTGGTTTTAGAGACATGGAACTTAACCTCTCAGGTGGGAAAGGGGCATGAGCTAATGTGGAAGGTAGAGAGATACCATCTAGATATAGTCAGGTTCACCTGAACACAAAGGATGGTCTCTTGAACTAAAGTCCTGGAGAGAGACTGGATACTTTTCCACTTTGGGGTTGCCCTGAGTAAGAGGTGTGAGGTGGATTTGGGTCTACTTATAGCCCCCCCCCCCCCCGGTTTGGAGCCAGTGCTTTGGAGGTCTACAAGAAGGTTGAACAGAGGTGAACAAGAGGGTTGCCTCCTTTAGACTTTGAGTCAAGGGATAGGCTCTGACTCTTGTCTGTGCATATCCACTGAACATCAGTTTACAGTGTCTGGCCCTCTTGGAGACCTTGGGTGGGGTGCTGGTAGGCTACCCCTCTGGGGACTCCATTGTTCTCCTGTTGACTTTAACACTCATGTAGGTAATGACAGTGAAACCAAGGAGGGTGGGCATGGGAGGAACAGCCTGCTTGATCTGAACCCCAGCTGTGATCTGGTATTGGACTTCTATGTTAGCCATAGTTTGTTCCTAACCAACATCGTGTTTGAGCATAATTGCACCTGGCATCAGAACACCCTAGGCCATAGCTCTTTGGTTAATTATATAGTCGCATCATCGGGTCTGAACCCATATGTCTTGGACACTTGGGTGAAGGGAGTCGCTGAGCTGTCAACTGATTTGGATCATATGGTAGGGGAAGTTGCTGGACAGACCTGTTAGACCCAAACGTATAATGAGGGTGTACTTGGAACATTTAGCAGAGGCCCTTTTCTGGGAGATCTTCAACTCACACCTCTGGCAGAACTTCTGTCGTATTCCGAGGGAAGCTGGAGACATTGAATCCGTGTGAGTCATGTTCCATACCTCCATTATTGCGGCAGCTGTCCAGGGCTGAGGCTCTAAGGTTGCTGGTCGTGGCACCAATCCCCAAACCTGATGGCGGACACCAGCGGTAAAAGGAACCATCAGTCTGGAAAAGGAGGCCTTCTGAGCTTAGCTACCTTATGGGACTCCAGGGGAAGCTGACTGGCACCAGCAGGCTAAGCAGAATGTGGTTTTAACAGTTGCAGAAGCAAAAACTTAGGTGTGGGAGGAGTTTAGTGAGGCCATGGAAAAATACCAGTAGGATGGAGTGCTGTTGACCTGAAATGGGGATATAGTTAGTTGGTGGAAGGAGCACTTTGAGAACTTCTTGAATCCAACTGACACACCATCCTTGGAGTAAGTAGAGCTGGAGGACTCAAAGGAGGACTGCCCTATCACTACTACTGAAGTCACTGAGGACGTCAACTAGGGTGAATGAGATTCGCACAGATTTCCTGAAGGCTCTTGATGTTGTTGGGGTGTCTTGGCTGACATGCCTTTTCAACATTGCGTGTAGGTTGGGGACAGAGCCTCTGGATTGCCAGACTATGGCTCCCATTCGTGAAGGGGTGGAGTGCTCCTTCAGGTTGGGGATGAGTTACTGCCTCAAGTGGAGGAAGTGGGGCGTCTTGTTCATAAGTGAGGGAAGCACGGTGCAGTTTATTGACATGCAGTGCAGTGCAGTGTGAGTTGTTATGTGAACAGTGTACTGGTCTGTTATGAAAGAGTGAAAGCTAAGTTGAAAGGAGAACCTATTGATTTACCAGTCAGACTACAGTATGTTCCTATCCTCACCTATGGTTAGAATCTCTGGTTGGTAACCAATAGAATGTATTGTGGATACAAGCAATGGAAATGAACTTCCTTCACCGAGTGTCTGGGCTCGGCCTTAGAGATAGGGTGAGGAGCTCAATGTAGAGCTTCTGCTCCACTGCATCGAAAGTAGACAGTTAAGGTGGTTCAGGCATCAGCATAGGATGCCTCCTGAAATCATCCCTGGTGAGGTATCTCTGGCATGTCCAACCAAGAGGAGACCCCGCGGCAGACCTAGGACAGGCTGGAGAGATTATATCTCTCAGCCGGTCTGGGAGTGCCTTAGTATCCTGCCTAAGGAGATGGGGGAGATGGCTGGAAAGAGGGAGGTCTGGGCATCTCTCTGCTCAGACAACTGCCCCTGTGACCCAGACCCAGATAAGTGGTAGAGAATGAATGGATGCATGGATACTGTATACATTCAGAGTATTAATAAATAAAAGCTGAATGTTAATACAAACTTTAAATGAGTCGTTTTTTTGGATGGAGGAAAAGAAGTGATTACATAATTCAATACAAAAAGAACAGAGGAAAGAAAGAAAACAAAGAACTAAAAAGCTTAAAAGTTCTGGGACGGAGTGGTGGCTCTGAGGCTAGGGCTCTGTGCAAGGTTGCTGGTTCAAATCCCATGAATGCCCAGAGTGCTTCTACTCCATTGGGCCCTTGAGCAAGGCCCTAAACCTGCAGTTGCTTTGTCCTGGGTATGATGTTAATCTACATCCAGCCCTACAAGGAGGTCTTCCAACTCACAGGGAATAACTTGGGGGTTGGTGGCAGGATTGGCACTCCAGCCACTGGGACAAAACTCACACTGGTCCATTTGGAGTAGCGTGGTGCTGAGGTATCACCTGCCACATGGCTGCACTCAGGTTCTCATCCCTGAGGTGGTTTGTCATGTTGTGGGTGCGGCAACGCATTGTAATCAGTGCCTGCTCCTTATCTCTCCTACCTCTTAAAAGTTGTACTGCAAATCTTTTGATAAAATACCTATAATGAAATGTTTTTTGAAAGATGCTGTTTGTAGAAGTTAGTTTATTAATGACATTCTACAACATTTTTTGATCTTTTTGTGGAATTCTAGTTGTCTATCATACATTTGCAAGTTCTATATGTGGTGACCATATGCACACAAATGAGCATGTCTAAAGAAAAACTCTGGTCAGTGGGAGTTCATCTCACCATTCTGCTGAGGTGCACGTGTGCACCAGGTTAGTCGAACATGATTCCTGCTGGAAATTCGTTATGTAAGTTTTAGGTGATCGTGGCCTGGACACGCAACTAGTCATCGACGTGATGTTTGGTGTTTAGAATACCAAGGTCTTACTTGTGAGAGATGGTGTCCAGGGGGAGAAGCTGTGCAGGGATACCTGTATGGAGTTGGGGCTCGTGCAGGTCCAGCTGAGCCTGGGGGGATTACGAGGTGCAGATGGGGAGGGGAGGTAGTGAGATCGACGACTGGCTGCCAGGGAGATCACAGCTCAACACACATGTTTGCTCAGTGCTGGTCAAATCAATGACTGCTGAATGGACATAAGCATGTAAATCACCCCCATTATCAAAAGTCTCCAACATAATGGCTGCAAGTGTACATCAGTGAAGTGGAACTTCAAATTATAATTGGATTTAAATGACTCTGTTCTAAATTTAAGCCCCATTTACACATGATGTAAGGTAGGTCTCAGGCAGAGATGGTTTGCCTGGCTGATGTTTGGCTTTCCTGTCTCAATCTAAGAATAACAAGATTAAGAAGCCGCAGCCAACCCCATAAAGGAATTCATTCTGCTGCCAAGACTCCTTCCCCCAAGGAAAGGAGCACCACGTTTCTGAAAACCAACCAGCTTCCTTCAGGCTGGGTGGAACGTGCCATAAGCCAGGCACTACCGTGCATGCATAGCTCACAGGAGAGTTGGAGAAAATCAGGTATGCGTAATACTAAATATAGTCTGGGGTGGAATTTCTTATTTTGTAAATATCATATGCTAGGCAAACGTCCAGTGTGACCCTTGACTTCTTTGAGTTGGGCCATATGCTCCCCATGAGGGGGATTGAAGAGAAAGACCCTGGATGCACTCGTGCCATCTATGGAAGGATGAAGAGGTTTCCAGTGATCTTCAGCACGCTGAAGGATGCTTAGAAATGCACTGTAGTGACAGTGAAAGCTCAATGGTTAATCATTTTACTGGCCAGTTATCAGAATGGGGAGAGACAGGAGCAGCTGCAGTTTAGCTGTTAAGTAAAGAATTCCTCAATTCCGGCAGGCTGATGGACTCGTCTGGTCATTCTGTGGTGCTGGGGAGACTTCAGAGCCAACATTGTAACGGGGTTATCCACTCGAGACAGGTTGATGTCCACGTCATCGGATGAATGTGTCTCATAAAAGCGTAGTCATGACATCTTTCTCAGCAGTTATTACGGGTCATATGCAGTTATTAGCCTGGCTTTGGTGGTACAGCAAGACGCCCTAAGGAGGATGACGGTGGTATGTGTGTGCCAGAAGTGGGCAGCCTTTTTCATGCAGACTGGATTTGGAAAATACTGTAGCCTTTACTTGGGTACATTTGTCAAAAATAAAAAATTTAAAGTAGTTAAATGACAAATAGTTTATATACAGTACCAGTCAAAAGTTTGCACACACCTGCCCATATTAAAATGTATTAGTACTATATCTGTACATTTTAATTATAAAGACATACAAAGTATAAAATAATGAATATGGAATTATTCACAGATGAAAAAAAATCTAAAATAAATAAATTTGGTGGGGGGTAGCCCTGTGGGTTGGGGCTCAGGAGGTTGTCAGTTCAAATCCCAGGGTCGGCAGAGTGATCCCACCATTGGGCCCTTCAGCCGGGCCCTTAATCCCAATTGCTCCAGAGACCAGCTGACCCTATTGTCTCCTCTATGCCAGTTTCATGAGGTGGCCTCTTGGGATGCTTTTCCAGCTGTCCTGAACACATGTGCTAAGCACTCATTGGCCATTTTTCCTCCACTCCTCCAAAACCATTTTCACTGTGCTTGGGTAAGGTGGCCAGGTCATGTGACAAGCGATCACTGTTCTTTGTAAGGCGGCTTGACGTGTCCTAACCTTTGACGGGTACTGTATGGTGTTCGGTTTAAAGCTATAGGAACTTTAGGATTTTTATTGTGTTTATTTACTAGACACATTTGTCCAAAGCAACATAAAAGTGAGAAAGTAAGGTCAGCTAGTGTCCCGGGAGTAATTGAGGTTAAGGGCATTGCTCAATGGCCCAACGGTGACATCACCCTGGATGCCACGGCATTTGGCGACCTTCCAGTTATGGGCACAGAGTGGTAACCTACAGAGGCACACACTGCCTCATCCAAAAAAAGAGATATAAATAATAATGACACAAAAATTTCAGTACATAACATTGTTTTATTGTTGGCGGATCCTCAGGCCAAATTAACATGCGTGAGAATGCAGATGGAGTGCATTACTTTGCTGTAAAGATATGCTCTGCTTAGCTTATGTCACTGGGAACCGAGCTCAGGTTGCCATGAAGTCGTAACATCTGCTCTCCTGTTTGGAAAGTCGTAAATCACGCGTGCCGAGTATGCTAACAATTCTTCTTATCCCATCTTGTGTTGATTTAGTTTCACATACTTCAGATTGCATTACAACCGTGTGAATGGTTGTTTACCTATCATTTGATTTATCTTAGCTTTAATTAAGTTTTTTAAATAACCTCAAGTCTCATCTAATCTTGATTGCATTAACAGTTTATAATCTTGGACATTAGTTGTCAGTTAATATTATAAATACGGAGCATTTTCTCTGGCATCATACAAACTGCATTACACAGTATTACATCACACACCCAGTTTGAAAATGAGATGCGTCCCTCCCAGTTGACGTATATGGCAAACATTCATTCTCCTGTGTCTTCTGGTCCACAATCACTCATCTTATTGTAACCATTATAACAGGCCGAGATTTTATTTCGCACTTTTATATATTGCCGTGGAACTCCAAGGAACAGCTGCTTGTTCCTTAATCACTTACCGTGTCTGGGATTTCACCTTTGAATGACATCGGTAACCAAGGAGTTCCATGTTCACCCGTGACAGTTCAGGGCTGTTTCAGGGGCCTCCCCAACACTTCCCGTCCTGCTTTGGAGTTTCAAGTAATCTCACCAGCTGCTCAGTCTTTTCCGAAAGGCGAGGCAGGGCTGATTGGTGGCCAGTAATTGCTTAAACTTTAGTAATTTGAAACAGGGCCGTGAGTGGCACTGTAGTATCATAAATCCAGGGTTAGGGGATTGATTGTGACCCCAGCTGTTTCTTCTGGGCACTTTTTGGTGAACTGTGCTGTGTGAAGGACTGGCAACCTGGGTCAGGCTTCAGGCTGAGTAAACTGTTATGGGAAATGGATGTGTAATACATAGTAGTCCTGTGTATGTATATATTGCATTTAAGTACCCAAGTTTAGGTGCTGTGCAGCTGTCTGATTGGTGCAATTTCCAACCAATCAAAGTTCTGTTCATGGTTTTTGTTTTTTTGCAGCCAATCGTCTTTCTAGGCTGTTGGCTTTGTGGCTCCTCCCAGTTGGCGGCTTTTCACATCAAACCTCTGTGCACCTCAGAAATTTGCAGACTCTCTGGACATTCAGTTTAATGTCCTCCACTAGGTCTGGTAGCAGCATTCAAACACTAAAACCTTTAGTACAACAATTTCTTAAATTTTACTTGCGTTGATTTTATAAATAAATTTTTTATAAATAAATATTAGCTGTTCTCAGTGGTCTCAGGGTGGCATGGTGGCTCTGAAGTTAGGGATTTGTGCTAGAAATCAGAAGGTTGCCGGTTCAAAGCTTGTGAATGCCAGGAGTGGTTCTACTCTGTTGGGCCCTTGAGCAAGGCCCTTAACCTGCAGTTGCTTTGTCCTGGGTTTGACGTTAATCTATTTCCAGCCCTACAAGCAGGTCCTCCAACTTACAGGGGAAATCTTGGTGGTTGGTGGCAGGATTGGCACTCCGGTCACCAGAAAAACCTCACACTATTCCATTCAGACTAGTGTGGTGCTGAGATATTACCCACTGCACGACTGCACTTGGGTTCTCATCCCTGATGTGGTTTGTCATGTGGTGGGTGTGGCAACGTGCTGTATCAGCATGTGCTCCTTACCTCTCTCTCAGTGTTTTGTACAGTGATCTTATCCCTGCCTGGAATCTTGTCACACCTTTACACTACAGTGCACATTCAGGCTTTAATATATAGGCTACTAATGTGCTGGACATTGGATCACATCACATTTTAAATCTCTCAGTACTGCATTAACATGGCTTGGTGTTAATCATGATGTTTTTAATTCTCTTTAATACATACCTTTAACTGCTAGTCAATACTCTACCCCGTGTATAAACAACACCAGGATATCCTAATATGCTGTCATATCATGGCTCGCCAGACACAGCAAGGAGATGTCAGATAGTCCTCATATTGTTTGGTTTCTTTTCCCCTATGAATGGCTAGACAGCCAGATAGGCTGCTGGTTCCGCACAGATATACAGCGATTATATCCTGTAAACATGTCTGACGCTGCTCACTTTTGACATCCAGTGCTTGTGCTGCGCGACGCTTGCAGCCCGACACTTTGTAGGACCAGAGCGTGTAAGTGGTGCCCTGTGGTCATGATGATATTATGGAGGCCGGATGGCTTAGCGGTCCACTAAGAATTCCTGCTTCTTCTTACATAGACACACAGCCCTACCACAGATCTTATCTCAGGTCCATTCTTCTGAGTAGGGCCAGACCCCACTCTGGACAATAGGTGGTGTTTGACTATTAAAGAAACATCTATTACTCTCTGGCATTTACCAATTACAGCCAGGGCCGGGGGGTGGGGTGACAGGGCCTGGTCCTGGGCCTGTACAGTATACTTAAACATGGCTTCACGCTATTCCACTAAAGAAAGACTTTTCCCAGCTAATGCATGTGTGGCTTCAGACAGTTTCCTAATCACCCGCTGATGCACTCTAGCTCTGCCCAATCGGTGGCGAGTCGGAGTTCAGGCCTTGCTGGACCTCTTCCCGGCGCGCTTTGAAACGAGCGGGATTTAGCTGTGTTAATTAGGCAGCCTGTCCCACGCTCCATTCCAGAACAAGTGCTTGTTTTTCCTCCCCGTCTTTCTGTTCCCCTGCAAGCAGCCGGCTGAAATGTAAAATGTTACTGTAACGCCTTTAAATAAGAAGCGCTAATGCGATTTGTGGTGCTGGGGAAGTGGACCAGACATCTTCGACTCTGAATTATCACGAGAGACTGAGTCGGCGTCCATCAGATCCCTGTTTAATTCATTCAATCATTAAGCAGCGCCCTTGCATGTATGGCCTTACCACGAGACTATAATTATATGTAGCGCAGAGGGTTGCTACCCAATCCTCATCTGTTTTTCTGAAACGAACATTTCTCATCAAATCATGTTAAAAATATCATTGTCATTGTCACACAGATGGGCAGTGACTACATGTATTTATTATATAATCACACTAATATTTTATGTCACTTATGTTGTGCTGAGAATAATTAAATCCGTGCCTCCCTTGAGTTTGGTTGAGCGTGGGAAAGCCAGCTTTTTGGCTATCGATTATGCTCTGGAGCTCCTCTAGACTGAGCTACAGTCTGCTGGGAGAATCACAGTTGCTCATTTGATGTAGGCACCTTCTTAGTCATTCCCAGCATTGCGGCTTAAATATAGGTTGGGGTCCCATGAGACCCCACTGCACGTGTGTAATAAATGAAACCAGGGTGTTTGCTATTTTCAAGATAAAACTTAACAATAATGATTAACGCTAATAATAATCAAAGAGGATTTTTGGTCGCTGCTGTCATACCAGCATTTCATGACCGGGATGTTGTATTTAAATTCAGGCCTTTCCATCGCTCTCTTTAGCTAGCTTGAACAGTGCAGGTGGAGGCTTATTTTATTTTGTGTTCTTTTTCGTGTTGTTTTGTCTCCCCAGGTCCTTTAAGCCAGACTTTGTTTTGATTCGCCAGCACGCCTACAGCATGACACCGGGAGACGATTTCCGCAGCCTGGTGATTGGCCTACAGTACGGGGGTGTGCCTGGTGTGAACTCGCTCTTCTCCATCTACAACTTCTGCAGCAAACCTTGGGTGGTACGTCTGCTTGCCTAGCCTGACTGATGTTTAATGGCTGTTATAGCTAGTGATAGAGGAGGTAAGGCTTTAATAGCCATTATAGCTAGTGACAGAAGAGGTAAGGCTTTAATGGCTGTTATAGCTAGTGGTAGAAGAGGTAAGGCTTTAATGGCTGTTATAGCTAGTGATAGAAGAGATAAGGCTTTAATGGCCATTATAGCTAGTGGTAGAAGTGGTAAGGTTTTAAAACAGTAGAGGTGGTAGGATTGCTGCATCTTAAGAGACACTAACAGGCTAAAACCAATGGACATTTATGAAGTTGCCATATTTGGTGATTTACGGTATACTGTAATCCATCCATCACAGGCTTCAGAGCCTCATGCCTGTACATTTACATGTGTTGCTTCTTAGCATCACTTTTTCAATAAAGAAACATCCCATTATAATATCTAAGGGGACTCTCATGTTATGGTGCCACGTGCTCGTGACCAGTGGTGTAAAACACCATTATCAGAATCATAATGGTAGTCACCATCATCCCCATCGGTCATTTATCTGATGAGCCCTGTGGTCTAACATGCAGCATTCATTGCTGTTTCATTGCTCCAGTTCTCCCAGATGATAAAGCTCTTTCATGCTCTGGGCCCTGAGAAGTTTCCTCTGAATGAGCAGACCTTCTACCCAAGCCATAAGCAGATGGTGAGCTCTCTCTGCCTCCTACTATGACTTTAAATTCACACTCATACCGCCATAATGATGGCTCCTACGGAAATAACAGCAGGTTTATAAGATTTGTACATAAGTGGGTATAGTTTATACCAGAATCATTTCTAAGTCCAATTTCAAGGACTGCGTTGTTTGGATCGTGTTGGCTGTTAATAATCAATTTGTGATTGTAATTATTCTGGGCAAGGTCATTTACTTCGATGTGGAAGTAATGCATGTCAGTTGTAAGGCTTTGAACTTTTTTTTTCTGGTGTCATCACACACATAGATGTTGAAGGCAAAACATCGTTAGATAGCAACAGGGGAAATGATTTCAGACATGTAAAAGATAAATGCTGTTATCTTTCGGAGTGAAGAGGCAGGACAGACATTTCAAAGCTCCATTTTAAATAACAGACTCCATAATTGGTTTGAGTCTGCCAGAACAGCTAATTATTAAGCACTGTGAATCACCGAAGGCTGGGCAAGGAACGAAGCTTTTTAAATTATTATGACGACATCAGATTTGAGCTTGGGGGGGGGGGGGGGGGGGGGG